TTCTTTCCGATTTCATGWTCTTTTCTATTTCGATTGGACTTTTCCTTTCACTGGTTCTTTTGTAAATTTGTGAATGTTTCTCTGAATTGTTATTGCATTTAGTATTCATCTTTTCTTTTTTTTTAATTATTGTAGTTCATTCTTTTCCTTCTTGGCCTCAGTTTCCGTTCTTCTTTTAATATGCGTTTCTACTGTTAATTATAACATATTTGTCTTCACTTCCATTGGTTTAAATAATTCTTCGACTTTTTTCTTCCAAATTCTTCTTCTGTTTTTTAACGGTTCCTTTTTACTGTTCTTCGTTGTTATTTTCAATTTTCTCTTTTTTTTCTATTAGTTTTAATTAGTTTAAAATCTTTTGATATCCGTTCGTCCTCTTAGTTTTCTTGTCAGTGTCCCTAAGCCCTAGCTAATTTTAAAACCTTGTTATAAATTCAGATTGCCTTTTAGTGTATCCATGATCCCTTATCTTAATCTATTCATTATGTAGCATTCATTCATAGACTGCATTTGAAATTATGCAAAAGAAAAATCAGTCTATAAATCTCAGTTGAGATTAGATAAAAGAATAAATTGATTCTTTGTGTTTAGGAAGTGGGCATATCAAGTTCTTGGTGCCGCAAGAAAGGGTTTGGGCGGGTCTATCTGACGGTAAAGCAGTTTGTCATCACTTTTAGACCTTAGTATTAAATAATCAAATATAATGGCGATCGATGTCTGTACTGCCTAGTACTGTCTGTGGACTCTCTATGTTTGACATATAACGATAAATTGGTTGCTTGCGAAGAGGCAGTAGTTTATTTTGTCGGCAAATAACAACATTTCCTCATATACACCTGGACTTTTGTTGTGCTCAGTTTATTTCTAAATTCCAGAAGCTGCTTCTTCTCAGACAGACCTTCCTTAACACCTTTAAAGCCGGACTAATTGCACCGGAGAACCTTTGCGCGCTATCCTTACAAACGAAAGAGGATTCTTTGTCTATCTGAGCATCCATGTAATTATTCCCAACATTCCCACGTTGTACTGTCTATTTTTTTCTAAAATGTACTGTGTATTTTTTCTGAAATATATCTTTTAAAAACAAAATAACGAAATCAAAGGTTCTCGCCGGTTGGAAGTGTACCCGTTAATTTCAAACTGATTTTGTTGAACATGGCGAAGTCGAAAAACACTATCACAATCATATGTTACAAACAATTCCGTAGAGTTTTCATTTCATTGGATTTGAATAATCTATATCTTCTTATCTTTTATGGATAGACCATCGTCGCTACCCTGTAATCCATAGTGGAAATCTCATTGCGTTAAGAGTGGAGTGAGTGGCCTACACATCCGGCAGTTACAGTTACCGATGGGTGCAGTGCGGCTCCACTAGTAGCTACTGCTATTATTCAAATTGCCCTCGTGGCAAGGTAAWTAATGATGCTAAGTAATACATTAAAAACGAGTACGAGTATTTAATCGTTTCAACCATAGTCTAAGTTCATAGAGTCTCCATAAGAGAGGGAGGAGAAAGGGGAGGAGAAGGGAAAGCGGGAAAAGGGAGGATACCTCTTTTCTCTCTCCTTKTCCCTGCTCTAGAACAGCCACGCACTCCTATATCAACATCACAGGATAGGGTTACAGGAAGGCGCTTTTTACATCAGTGCTTGATTTCGAATCTCAAATTCAGGCAATGCCTGCTTAAAATTCATGAAAGTTTTGACTGGTGACAACGTGAATTGATCTTATATTTCAGTGAAAGAAAAGAAAAGAATTGTTTTTAGTCATTTTATTTTATTTTTTAAATATAGATCGTTGAATAACAAAAACATATTCGTAACGTACATCTCTTCTTTTATATTTCAAGGTGCTRAAGTCCAAAAGATGGTCTTCSTGCAGAAAGGAACAGTTTTACATCCGGGCAGTCAACAAGAACGACGGTCAACCGATCATTAGCGGTGACTTTGTAACCCTTGCCCCTTACAACCGTGGCAGTACCTGCCGTCTGAGATGCCACAGCTCAACTTCTTCATATTGTGAGTCAAAGACGTAAGTATCGATCCAATTAATCTTTTGGTGTTGCTCTTATTGAGTGCCGTACTTTTCTTTTCAGATGTCTAAGTGAGAGTTATTTCAAAGGAAACTACGCCTTCTCCTATTCCTACCTGACGTTCCAGATCTTCTCTCATTTTGCTAAAGACGGCATTGACCCAGTGCAGTACGGTGATATCGTAGGGTTTCGTTATCCTTACTATTACTCTCATCACTGGCTCTATTTCAGCGGTAGCTATCTTTACGCGCGCTCATGTAGCTACAACACCAAAACTTCTTGTGCTCGAAAAAATTCTCTTTTTGGCTTCCAAATATTCAAAAAGTTGTAGATTAAAGCAAAGTGATTGATCAAAAAGATGTATTAGAAATAAAGTTTGCTGAGCGCAATTATGTATTGTGTAATTGTTTGATTGTACTCATGCAACTTAAACCCAAAACCGTCACATTTTAGTGATTTTTTGATTCTTATATCATTGGAAAGATCGTTTGTAGATCTAGGTATATCGTAAAGTTTTGAAAAGATACGAAGTTTACAACAAAACTTATAAAATGTTTTTTCTTACTTAGATAGTATTTTTGGGATTTTGTTTTGTACATTTTAAAACTCCCGCTCATTTAGTGCATCAAAGACCTTAATTGAGCGCTAGTCTTGCGTGACGCTAAGTGTGACAAGAAACTTAAGATGCTCGAAATAGAACGTTATAATATGAATCGACCTCTTTTTTTTTAGATTGCTAATAAACTTATAAAAGGTTTTTTCTTACTTAGATAGTATTTTTGGGATTTGTTTTGTACATTTTAAAACTCCCGCTCATTTAGTTCATCGAAGACCTTAATTGAGCGGGAGCAAGAAACCAAAGGTGCTCGAAATAGAACGTTATAATATGAATCGACATCCTTTTTTAAGATTGCTAATAAAGTTGAAAACTTTAGTGCATCAAAGACCTTAATTGAGCGGGAGCCGAGCGTCACGCTAAGTGTGACAAGAAACCAAAGGTGCTCGAAATAGAACGTTATAATATGAAACGACATCTTTTTTTGAGATTTCTAATATACTTGTAAAAGTTTTTTTCTTACTTAGATGGTATTTTGGGGATTTTTCTTGTACTTGAAAACTCCCGCTCATTTAGTGCATTGAAGACTTTAATTGAGCGGGAGCCATGCGTCACGCTAAGTGTAACAAGAAACCATGGAAAAAATAAAAAAGTACCATCAAAACGAGGCACCCATCCAACTGGACGGGCACCCGGTCCACCAATGAGGGAGATGTTTAGCCGGACCCTAAGNCTCCCGCTCATTTAGTGCATCAAAGACCTTAATTGAGCGCTAGTCTTGCGTGACGCTAAGTGTGACAAGAAACTTAAGATGCTCGAAATAGAACGTTATAATATGAATCGACCTCTTTTTTTTTAGATTGCTAATAAACTTATAAAAGGTTTTTTCTTACTTAGATAGTATTTTTGGGATTTGTTTTGTACATTTTAAAACTCCCGCTCATTTAGTTCATCGAAGACCTTAATTGAGCGGGAGCAAGAAACCAAAGGTGCTCGAAATAGAACGTTATAATATGAATCGACATCCTTTTTTAAGATTGCTAATAAAGTTGAAAACTTTAGTGCATCAAAGACCTTAATTGAGCGGGAGCCGAGCGTCACGCTAAGTGTGACAAGAAACCAAAGGTGCTCGAAATAGAACGTTATAATATGAAACGACATCTTTTTTTGAGATTTCTAATATACTTGTAAAAGTTTTTTTCTTACTTAGATGGTATTTTGGGGATTTTTCTTGTACTTGAAAACTCCCGCTCATTTAGTGCATTGAAGACTTTAATTGAGCGGGAGCCATGCGTCACGCTAAGTGTAACAAGAAACCATGGAAAAAATAAAAAAGTACCATCAAAACGAGGCACCCATCCAACTGGACGGGCACCCGGTCCACCAATGAGGGAGATGTTTAGCCGGACCCTAAGCACTAAAGACCTTGTGTGAAATTCATCACATCATGTCAGTATTATTTATACCAGGCACTCGGGACCCGCTCTACCATGTGGGACCGAGATTAACTTAACCTGGATGTGTTGTTGTACTGAAATCACACATTGTCTCAGTCTTGAAGTTTGCTCAACTTAATCAGCTTGAATTTGGCTGCCAATAGTTTCACGTATTCATTTAAAAGAATAACTTCTTCGTCAAAGATGTAAGATCTTTTTAAAGTAATTATTGCGCAGTTCGTATTGAATATTTTCAATTCGTACAGTTTTGAACAAAATCGCCTCGAAATCGCGCTGGTGTGCGACAAGAAAGTGGCGATATTTGCGCGCACTCCAAACATAATTTGCCTGTGTAAACTGGGCTTCAATCATTTACTAGCAGTGATACTTTTACGTGAAAACCTTTGGAACAATTATGTTGAACATATATTGTATGATTTTACTCAATTGACCCTGGATGCGTTGTACTAGGTTCAGTTTCATCATGTTTTGCAGTTCGCAATCGATCGATTCAATCCGATAACTCGGCAGGTGAATTGTGTATTTTTCGCTCGATTTTGAGTTTTACGACGTTTAAGAGAACCTGATTTACTAATATTAGTGCTCTTTAACAGCTATAAACAGACATATATTGAATATGTTGAGATTGCTATAGTTAAAAAAATGGTACACGATATTTCCGCTATTCCACTGTGCTTTCCAGCCGATTAGTTTTTTGCGAATAATTGTTTCTTCAAATGATCCAAATGTATGCATGCCTCTGTTTTGGTCTTTTACTAAAATTTGAACGTGCTCTATTAAATAAAAGAGCTACATTTGTTTCAGTATTTTTGTTATTTAAATGAAACGAGATTTCCTTTTTCTCATTGTAAAGTATTTCAACAGCGAAACAGACGAGGGTTTTGAAATTTTCTACGTATATATATCGCTTACTCATTAATGTTCCCGCCTTTCCTGATTAAATATCACTTGGAAAAAGTATAAGAAAGAATAAAAAAGAAGTTACATATAAGCCATCAGCTCTTTTAAGGATAAAGCCATCAGCTCTTTTTAGGTTAAAACCTTTAATATTTTTAGCTGTCTAAGCTCACTGTTTCACACAATCAATGACGAAAAGGACGCACATATAACTGTTTAAGTAGACGTTTGGAAAACACTGTACAATATGCACTGATCAGAATTAAAACATGGAGGTATTCACTTGCTATTTCAAATCCCATTGAACAGAACAAATTCCATTTTGTTTGACACAGAAATTGGTTAATGATCTGACTAATCCAATCATGTCTGGATTCTGCTATCCGTTCTTTTATCTATTTGCAGGCCGTTTTCCTGGCTTTTTTTAATAGATTACGTGCATATAATCCTACTCTTACATGCAAGGTGGATTATGATTTCACAGCTTAAAAACACTCATCAACGTCCAAATCAGCGCCGCCAAACCCGTGCGTTTTCCCTTGGCCGTCAAAATTTAAACCCCATTCTTTGGGGGGCTGGAACGTTTCATAGGAATGATCTTTTTAGCGACCTTTTTTGGCCGCTATTGGGTGGAACTGTAGCGGGACAATTCTTCGATTATCGACAACACTTTAATTATCACCCTGCAAATCGCGCCGAATTTTGTTTTTTCTAATTTTACCTGGCTATATTTGCCAGTTTTCCTTGATTTTACTAACATTTTAATTGTAGAATTTCCGGCATACTCTTTTACTTTCAACCAAACACTTCATTGAACTATGATTTCCTTGCTTACACAAAAGAACTAAAATTTCCGTCCTTTATGGATCAAAGAAATATTCCTTTTTGTGGCTTAGAATAATAGTTGTACTATATGGTTGATTTACTTCCTAATTACACTAGCTAGTAAATCTAGTTAAAAGTTTTTACATGAATAGGTACAAAAGCTTAATAAAAAACGCACTTTAAGATATTCACATATAAGATATAAAGTATTCTTCGTTTTCAATTGACATACAACACCGGTGGCCATATTGGATGAACTTCAACAGAGGATATCTTATTAATCTATTGTTCCCCCTCCAACATGACTGCTGGTCTTTTATTTTTTGAATCTGATGGGATTGGTTGATCAATTCCTCTGTACTGAGAGAGGACAAACGGCGGGGTCAATCAAGGAAAACACATCGGTGTTCTGACGTTGAACGAAAGGCATACGACTATAAGGCAAGTATACCAAAATGAGATTTTAGAAACATCGCGGCAAATGCTAAACGAGAAGGATACGCGGTTTGCGGTATACTAGTGCATATTTATGTTTGGAAAAAAAATTGTAAAACTACTGATAAATTCTTTTCCTAGCAATTTTTTTCTTTTTAATTCCATTTGAAATTCACCGTTTAAAAAAGAGCGCTTTGAGTTATTTTGACGAAAGAAGAGTTACACTTAGCAAAAACATTCTTTGCTGGTTTATGATCCTATTAAAGTTACATGGTAAACATGATCTTTCTTTCAACCAAATTAAAAGTAAATTAGAATGTGAAATTTATATCTAATGGAAGTAAATAGTTAAAGGAATTATTATCGTTGTGTACGTTGCCAAGTGAAAATGATTTATGCGATTGTTGGCCTTCAACGGGAATCAAACCATAAATGAGTATCTTATACTTTTATTCGATACCAAAGTACCAGCAATAAAAGCAAAATGTATTTTTGCTTATTATAATGTGCTTATTGTTAACGGACTGCTTCTATGAATCTCCCAGGTGACAGCGGGAATTAAGGGGGAGACAATTAAGGGGGAGACAATTAAGGGGGAGACAACCGTCTTATCATGACGCGATGGGAGTGGCAGTGATAAAGCTTCATCAGTAAAAGGGGACCGATTTCAATTCAACATAACTCAACGGCTCAGATTCTAGATTTTAATCGTATAGTAAAATTCTAATTCTAACATGAAACGCCTTCTGTTCAAATGCAGTTTATGACAGTTTATATTGCAAGAAGAAATTCCCTATGGTTTAACAAACAATTAATATTCATTTTATATTCACTACAATTTACTCGTATCTATAGTTATAAATGACATACAAAATAGAAAATTAATAAATCAAAGTTATTCGTAACGTTCCACAGAAAAGGGACATTTTGGGAAGATTAGAACTGTTAAAATGTTTCGTAAGTGTACTGCCATATAACACCTGTGCTTGAAGATCTTCACTGGCTGCCGTTAAAATATCTAATTATCTTATTATTCTGCTGTTTTTCATAACCATTCTTAATAACAGTTTAAACGGATGCTTTTAACATTTGTTTCACCATTTGTTTGGTTTAATTTGTTAGACGACAATGGTGAAAGTGATTGCGCGGTGCTTATAGTATGTTTAATTCTACCACAAATGTATAGCAAATTCTGCGCATGCGCTTGTAAATATACTACATTGTTCAAATGACCTTACAAACGGCATCAACATCATTCAACATTTCCGAAAACAAAAGAAATGATAAACGGATGTAAAAACGCTTTTAAACCGATTCAACATTGATTCCACACGTTTCAACAATGTTCACAATTTTTTCACTCATTCGATCATTCTTTCATTCATCCAACCATTCAATCATTGTCGGTATATATATATATACTCAATGAGCGTTTGCTGTTGCTTATCATCGTAGGATATTTGCTCATTACAAACTCTGGACTAAGTGACATTCGCAACGGACCACTATTTGGCTGAAAGGAGTGCGGTGCTTTTTCATTAATACAATGAATTCCACTACCAACATATTCCACGCAATTACAAAAACACAGCAGAAATACGTTTTCCGAAGATCCAACTTCAAAACTGTTGCCTATTCTTTGCTTTGTGTTCTCGGCTTGTACGCACTCGTGGCGAATGGTGTGGTCCTATACCTTAAGAGAACTCAAAGGAAAAACACAAAAGCCAAAGGAAGTCTAATAGCATTTAGTCGGTTCCATGTTATAAGCAGCTACGTGGAAAGTTTGTCAGTGTCTCATTTCTTGTGCGCGTGCCTTGTCATTCCGCTCGTTGTTATGCAGCAATTCTTCGACTTGATTGACACCGACTTCAAATGTAAACTGATAAGGTGCATTTATTATTTCTTTCCACTGGTGACCACGAACAATCTGTTTGTAATTGGGATAGAAAGATACATCGCCGTTTTCCATCCGCAAAAAGTACCTTCCTCAAGGATCCTGCGCTGTACCATCGCTTGTGCCTGGATACTAGCAGCTCCAGTCTCAATCATATTATCAGCCATGTACAATCTAATACGCGTCGACATCGATGAAGAAACTTACACCATGAAGTGCTTGTATGATAAAGCCTCTCTTGCTAAAAAAGTTGTTTTTCTGGTATTAGCTGTTTGTTATTATATCATTCCTAGCGTACTCCTCTCTGTATTGAACATTAAAATTGCTCGATATTTGAGCCGACTGCAAACTAAAAGTGTAGGCAAAAAGAACTGGATATTCCATGGGGTGTCGACTTTTGTTGTTCTCATCTTTTGCTTTATAATTCCATTCATGGTTTTCTTCGTTAGCTCTGTAATTAATATATACCAAATACCCAATTTAAAATTCGATATTCCTATTGGACACATTGGTCTAATAGCAGTCTATGCCAATTCAGCCATCAGTCCCACTGTTCTGCTCTTGAATATGAAAGATCTTCGCGTAATGCTAAAAGATTTGCTTGGATGCATGCGCAATAATCCTGGAAATAAGACACAGGACGTCGATATGCAAGAACGACCAAACAAAAAATATGGCGTTAATTCTGATACTGACATCGAAGAAAGCGTAAGAGGAGAAAGACATCAAATAGGCATCTCGGCCATATAAGAACACTCTATGTAGACAAATTAGGTACTTTATTATATGCAATTCCCAACAGATGGATCAGAATCAGTGCTTGCCGTAGGATGCAGCTATATGAGAGTATATCATTCTTGTGAGGCTACTGACCACTCAGTAAAGTCACAATATAAGCGAGTATAAAGTTCTCTTGGGAATACGATATTTCAAATATTGCAGTACAATAATTAAAACATTAAGTTACCGACATATTACTAGCTGTAGGACAGGGTGATTAGAAACTCTAAGAATCCTAATTGCACTGGGTCATCAGCTAAAATAAAAGCGACGGCCCCAATATGGCGACGAATTTGGACTCTGTCTACTCCAAAAAGAAATGAGACTAAAAAAAATAAAAAAAAACAACAGCATAAGAAAATATTGCAGTTATCAGGAATCAACTTCGGTTCCTTCTGACCGTAGAATACTGCAAAAAAAAAAAAAAAACCAATCAAATAATCATAAAAATAATAATAAACAAACAGCAACAAAACAAAAACAAAAGAAACAAACAAAAACGTCTGTGAAAAATATCTTTCTAATCCACGAGTTACTCAACATGGGCTCCCTGTGTTATACAACAACAACACTTTTCTGCGCAGGCGTATCACACGTACTACTTTCAAAATGGACAGCATGAGTTCGATGTTCGACGATGTACGGCGAATGAACAAGCGTCAGGTAGATTTTGTTGTATATATGCTTAATTTTTCTTTATTTTCTGATATTTGAATATTTCTTCTAACAGAATGTGTGATATCTTTTTGTTTTGTAGCTGTTTTACCAAGTTCTGAACTTCGCCATTATCGTCTCTTCCGCGCTTATGATCTGGAAAGGTCTGATGGTTGTCACCGGGAGCGAAAGTCCAATAGTAGTCGTTTTAAGGTAAAAAAAGTTAAGCACATAAAACTCTTCATTCGCAAGTGTAGTTGTTGTTTATAAAACAATGAAATAAGTTTTCACAGACTGATTGCTTAAACAATGAAAACAAGTGAGACTGTGTGGGGAGGGGAGGGGAGCAGGTTTAACCCAATTAAAATTATACACGATGAGGAAAGTAAAAGTCAATGATTTTTTTTTAATATTAGAGCTTCTATTAAGATAAGTTCGTTTTATGCATGGTATATGGCATCATTCATAGAATACGAATTTACCTGCATAATGTATAATGTTGAAAATATAATAATTATGTAAAAAACAGATGGAATTATCCGTCCTTTGATGTTAAAATGGTAAAGGAAGAAGGCCACGAGAGGTGCAAGCTAGAAACACATGAGTATAGTGATTGTTGCTATTTCTCAAGCGCTCTCTACTCTTGCACCAGTTTATGCTGTTTTTTGTACTTTTTTATGTAAAATATTTACTATAATATAAACAAAACATCAGCCAATCTGAACTAATCTTATTCTAACTGTACCTCATCTATTTGTGATCTTATGATGAGATATATAACACAACCGCACACGTCTCTGCTAGTCTATTATAAACACGTCTGATATTGAGAGCACAAGGGAAGCAAGCTTAGAAATAAAGACACATGGATGATGTTGTTGTTGATTATGGATCTTTTGTGTTTCAGTGGAAGTATGGAGCCTGCGTTTCAACGTGGAGATCTACTCTTCCTTACAAATTACAAAGAAGACCCAATAAGAGTTGGTGAAATAGTAGTATTCAAAGTAGAAGGAAGAGAAATTCCTATTGTACATAGAGTTTTAAAAGTTCATGAAAAGTAAGTTCTTTGTTTTCAAATAGAGCGGATTTCGTATGAGTCGGACACTGTTACTGCACGGTTACCGCACAGTTACCGCACCTGGCCTGCAGAATTTTGGTGAATCAATGGGGCACTAGAATTTGGTTACAGTACGATTACGGACACAGTACAGTACCGTCCGTTTCCCACTCATACGAAATCCGCTCCATTGTCCTCATGATTAGATGAAATAGGCATTGGACTAATTTGTTTTTTTATGCTGGTAAATACCAGTTGGATGGACCCTAATATCATTGGTACATCTGACTTTGGCCCCTGTAACATGTATTTATCCTGCATTAGGGTAAAAAGCACTCTTTTACTAAATAATTAAGTTGAGAATAGCACCTTTTTTTCAGTTTGGTTTACATAGTTAAACAGTTTATGGCTGTTTAGAACATGTACTTTAAGTGGCATTTATCTTGATGTGAGCTCTAGGAAATAGAGTTCATACAACACAAGAATAACATGAGCTATAACACAAAGTTGTTTTATTTTATTTTAGAGAGGATGGATATATTAAGTTCTTGACCAAAGGCGACAATAACTCTGTAGACGATAGAGGATTATATGCACCTGGACAAATGTGGCTTGAAAAGAAAGACGTTGTAGGAAGAGCTAGAGGGTAAATATGCTGGACTGCTGTTCGTTTTTACATGAGGCAAATCATTTGATATTTTCTGTGCATAAAGCCCAGTCACTTGTGAAAAACATGGCATTTGGTCTTGATAAAACTGAGGCAAAAATTTGGCTATTAATGATAACTATAGATATCCATTAGTCATTAATAGTCTCAATGCTGGAAATTATTTATTTTACTTTTTCTTGCAGTTTTGTACCTTATGTTGGCATGGTTACAATTTTAATGAATGATTATCCAAAGTTTAAGGTCAGTAAATCCACTCGATATTGATAGCCTCTATAGTAGCCTTCTTGGGATCCCTTTGTACAAACATAGAGGGCTGCTACAATGGCTAATACTTTGTTTAAAATAAAGTAATATTTTGATTGAAATGATCATAACGTTAAACTCGCTAAAGCCAAACCTTCATTCATGATTCATGTTTGTGATCTCATACGAGTATAAGGGGTTGGGAGGTTGTTGCTTTTGTTTGAGGTTGCTTGGTATTGGGAGAAGTCTGTATGCTATTCAAGTTGATTAATTTTCATCTTTTTATTTTCAGTATGCAATATTAGCAGCCCTTGGTTTGTTTGTTCTTATACATCGAGAATAACGTCCACCTTACTGCCACTAAGTGACAGTCATAAAGTTCCAAGTCATTAGATTTTTCTGTTGAAAGCTTTTACCAATGAAAAAACTCTTCTCTTTGCCTTGAAAATCTCTAAAAACTAAATGGACAATATGCACTTAATTACAAGTACGTTGTCCTGAGATTTAGGGATTTAGGAAGTCAGGTATACATTTAAAATTAAGACAAAGGATGATCAATAAAGCTGAATGCTTTCTTTGTATTTTATTTCCTAAATAGCAAAATTTCTTTTTCTTGGACAACGTTGTGTAATTAGGTGTACTTAAGATATGAATGATAAATATTTTTAGTGGCTCATCAAGCAATAATGTTCAATAATTTATACTAATTAAATATTTTCAATTGACCTATGAGTTCGACCTGACATTAGAGCAAAAGTTAAGCAAATAGCATGAGCCGTTTCCGAGATAGCAGTTTGCATTGCATTGTGGTCTAGATTCGGCACAAACATCTTTAGTTCATGCTGCCAAATATTCTGTTGTTTGTAATGAAGCTAGATCACAATGCACCGTGATTTTGTATATTTTCAGAAAAGGCTTATGAAATCAACCATTAACATTTATTTATATTCATGCAGTAAAGTGACCTGTTAGATGGTTTTTATGTCTTATAGAGTGATTTCACATCTGTTTGAGACTGATACATGTATGTGCAATATAGGTAGAGATTTGCATGATTTCAAAAAGCCTACATTGTTATTTGAAGTACTTGTACAGATCTCAACTCATATAGTAAATATAAAAACAAATTTCTGGCTAAAATATCTAAACTATCTAAAATACTGGCTCAATCCATTATTGAAGTGATAGAAAGTTTATAACTCTTACAACATAATATAATGTTATTATAGTATAATGTACAGTGCACAACCTATCCTTTGGAAATCATAGAATGCATGTCATAGTATGTATTTGTTGAAATATGACCATTCAAAATTATTTATCACCGGTTATTAGTAATACACCTCAATCCTGTTCAAAGCAAGCAACCACTGTTTTAGTAGAGAACAGACTAACTTGTATAGAACCCTTACCAAAGACGAGAAAGCATGAATAAATAGCTCTAGAAATTGGAATTTTTTTTTCGATTTGAAGTTTAGAGTTTAATCCTTCTGGGACAACAGACTTGGCCTCAAATCAGAGAAAACGTAAATTTGTAGGGCTAATATTGTAGTGACATTTTTTCATGCTTTTGTTTTTGGAAAGACATTTGTACTAGAGAGACTGTTGTCAACTAAAACAGTGGTTGCTAGCTTTGAACAGGGAAAAAGGCATATTGTTTCACAGATATAATCGGCATACATCCTGAACAAAGACTGAATATGAAGCATTGTAATTTCTTATTCACATCTAGAGTTGTGCAAGAGAGCTTAATAAGAACATACATTTAATGTACCAATAGTAATAACTGTAGATGTATTAAAATATTTAGTCTTATGTATTGAAAATAATCGTCCATTTGTGTACTTAACAAAGGCTCAGCCTGTGGTTTATACTCTGATAAACACGCTTGGCATTTGAAACACATGAGACAATGTCAAGAAGCACAAACTATAAAAGAGACAGGCATTTCAATGCTTTCCAGCAACATTAATGAAAATACACATTTGATCAACTTGAATTAATTTCTACATTTTAGTCAAGTGTTCAAGAAATCATTTTAGATTCATACTGCAACTAGGGATTACACATATAAACAATTCACATTCCAGTGCTTTTGTAAAAGAGTTTAGAAGTTTTCTTCATATAATTATATGGAAGTATATTTCTCCAATTCATGAAACATTGATGAGAACAAAAAACAAAAGATTAATGGCAGCTGTTAAAGCTTAGAATAGCTTGATCTAAAAATTTGTACACAATAAGACCAATGTTATGCTTCAAAATTTACATTGTAAATCAAAACAAGTTCTCAAACTTTCCAAAACTTGTGATAAAAGAAAAACAAATAAGCTGTAATGTATAATGCTTATTTACAATGTTTTTGTACAGTTATTTTGAAAAAGATTGAATATTGGATACGCTTATTATGGTGCTGTAGTGCTAGCCAGCACAATGGTACCATAAAGAACTGTCAGTTACATCTATCTTTGGAGGCCATCAATGATTCTTGCTTTTTAAGTGTTGATGTTTCAGATAGGGAAAGTATCTTAGAGTGAGGGATTGGAAGAAAACAGCTTTGCAGTGGTTTCAGTACTGACATAACCCATGCGCACAATTCTGATTGTTCCTTGACCTCTTCCACTTCTTCTGGGCAAAATGATGAATAATTTCACTTCATTTTCTCAATCTCTTCATCAGAAACCAAATAACCTTTGATAAAAGGCAGTCCAGTACCAACTTTCTTTTGGTAATCAATATATTCATACTGAAAAAAGTTTAACAAAGTTATTTCTTCGTATTCAATTCTCTCCTTAAAAAATCTCCATGATGCCACAGCATAACCAAATAAACAAACAGGGTTGCATAGTGTTAGCTGCGTTCCGATACTCCAGTAAAACCATCCAACATAAGAAGGATGACGGAATAAACTATAGATTCCGGTGGTAACAAGAACGTGCCCCTCCTTCTTGTGAAATTGCACCAAATGGGTGAAATTTGATTGTGCAGTGATCATGGCCACTTTACGCGTGATTTCGCCCCCTATAAGTAGCAGAGCTCCAACATAACTGATAAATACGTAGCTTTTAAGATTTGGGAAGAAATAATATTCAATACCAAACTCAATCCAACTTGCAACAGCAGCCATTTTGTATTCAAGGCTGTGATTGAGAAGGAAAGAGTCTATTGAAAGCGTTTTAGGGTTGTAGATGGCCATAATTATGTACTCAGAGAAGTGGAAAAACGACAGTGATGTCATGTACCAGCCAAAGCAACGGTAGCTCACTTGGGAGAAGCTCAAAACAAGTGAGCATCCGAACGCACAACCAAGGAAAGCAGCTCTCTTGGCAACATCAGCATGCGGCGAAAAGTTCGAGATACACCACGCAAGGAACGCCAAAGCTATTGAAGAAAATATACTTGATAGCGAGGTAAATGTTGACCTGTTGAACAACGCCAGGCTAAGGCAAAAGTATGCGAAAAAGGCGGCTAATGCTATTTTACACTCTTTGACAACCGCCATCTTTGTTTCTTTGGTTGAGGAGCACAGGTATCCCAAGAAAATCTATTTCGCGATACATTTTCAAGGATACATCACAGGAAGCATTCAGGATAGATTGAAATTAAAGTTTTTATAAATGATTTATTGCCCCTTACTAGAGATGTTTTACTAGAGATGACTTTTATAATTTTGGATGATGTAGTATATATATATATATATTTTGGCTGGTGGTTTATAACATTTATCCATCAAAATATGAAATGAAATAATAGTCATTTCAAATTAAAAACGAAGCTATCAAATCACAAGAAATTAAAAGAGTGAAAAATAAATTGTGTGAAAAGGCAAAATGAAATGTTGGACATTGAATGGGATGAGATATTCTGCACACTCTACGATTACGCTATATAAGGACAACAAGTCCTTATAAGGCAGGCGTAGTCTGGTGTGTTCTCATAGCGTGGTAGGTTTGGGGAACCGGGATTTTTCTTAGATTTTAAACCTTTATATCAGTTAAAATTATTGAAAAAGGAAGATTTTAATAACACTTAGGGATTAATCCAACATTTGGCTCTTCAGTGAGAGTTTGGTGTGAAATTTCAAAGCTTAAAAGGCTAGCAAAAGGGGGTTGCTTTCACTAAACAATCCAGACGAACCCGCGAAGATTCGACATGGACACCGAAGTGATCGACGCCAGGTAATTATTGCTCTCTCATTAAATACTGTAGTTTAGCCTAATTAGTCTTTACAGGCAATTGATTGTGAACAGTTTAGTTAATTGTGCTTTCTAATTTTATCGAGTGTAGTCTCAAAACTAACAAATTGCCTTTGAATCCTTCTCAAACACTAGTCTATCCGCTGTTCACACATAGCTTCGAGCCAGGGTCTACTACATTTGACCAGGTTCAAAAACTATTTTCAAACTTTACTTTTGCTTGCAAAGTGCATGGGAAGAAAGAGAGTGTATAATTTTAGTTATATTCCTCGCTTTGAAATAAGCTTGAATTTTATTGCGAACTAAATCCACCAGTATCTGAAGGAATTTTTACATACAATAGTGGTCTGTTTGTCCTTTGTTTCTCAAGATACGTCCCATTTCATTGGTCGAAAATAATTTCCCCACTCGATTCTTTGATTCATGAAAACATTTTTGAAGTGTCCAATAACCTTTTGAGCTAAGAAATAATGCTAAGCCAAAAATTGTACAATATGGCTTCGAATTTTTGATAGAATATTTTTAGAAGGGGATGGAAAAATCCTCTGTTCGCAGGGTAGAATTGAACTGGTCAAAACTCATTTTCTAACATCACAAAGATCGATTTTGAGTTCAATTTTACAATGTGAACTTCAAAAATACTTATCATGTTTGAGCATTATGACAATAAAATTACTAAATCATGATAATCTTGACTTTTCAATAGTAATATTCATAAACGTGAATTTGTACAGATTTCATTGTTTAAAGTGTACATGCAATAGGAGTGGTTTAAAATAGCAGTCCAGTATTCTTGGCGAATATGGACCTTTTTGGGGTTCATCACTTGTATTGCGAATATGCAATACTTATGACCAGCTGTACCACACAGGAAGCCCAACCCGATGTTAAGAGGAAAAAATTTCAAATTCTTGAGGGAAGTTCCTTGTTTGATGTGTCAGTGCTTTCGCAACTTCATTTCATATATTTTAATGACATTCTCTTCTCCAGACACTTCTCAGTTTGCTAATGTAAAATTGAACCAAGACTCTGGTTGAAGACAAACCAGAAGACCCAGAATCTGGGTCGTATGATAATGATCTGGGTGTAAGAATGTTGATTTTAATGAAATTTGTCTACTCATATTAGATACATTTACTTAACGTGTAATTGCAAAAGCGTTTTCCAAGAAATAGAACTTTTCCAATTCAGGAATTAATTAAAATACAAAAGCTAGGTTCAGCTTGGTTGGTCTTCTTTTGTTTGTTTTTAATGTATTACTGTATTCCCAAATCTATTAATCTCAGTTCAGTGTTTTTGCAATTAGGTGCTTCTGTGACAATATTTTTTGTCAGTTATGCTTGCTTTTAGTTCTTAATGGCTCATATCATTGAATAGTGTTTAATCTTTTTTATATAGGTCAGTCAGCAAATTATCCCAATCAGGTATTTCTATTTATTAATTATTTGTGTTTATTCTGTGTACATATACTTTTATGTACATTATGTAATAATGTCAGTTTTGGATAAATTACTCGCCCCTTTGAAATAAAAATCACTTGTTGGCCACAAAAGAGAAATAAAAAAAAACATAGCAACACAAAACACCATATTTGTGTCAAGAAACATAAGTTTCCCTTGTTAAAAAAACAACAACAACAAAATAAACAATTGCTTGAAAAAACTTTATTCCATATCCTCAGCTGATAATAGTCCAGTTCCAAGTCCAGGAAGACCAGACAGTACAGATGGTTCTAAGGTACAATATCAAAGAAAAACTACCACATAGATTTTTATCGAAAAAATAATAATACAGTCAACTCTTACAGACACCCCACTACAACAGACACCTTGATATTGCAGACAGTAAAATACTGAATCCCTGGCGAAAAATACAAAGAAATGACTAAAAGTAGCTCTCGTTACTATGGACTCTCGCTACTGCGAACACTAAATTACAGTCCCAAGGGAGTCCGTAATAGCAGGGGTTGACTGTAGATGTAATTCACGCAAGCAAACATCAAGTAAAAAAACATTAATTGTGATATATAAAATTTGTTTTCAGTCCACATTTTCAAAAGGAAGAAAACGCAAGAAAGCATATAAAGATACTAATGCACCCAAGGCTCCTTTGACAGGATATGTGAGATTTTTGAATGAACATCGTGAGAAAGCAAGGAATGAGAACCCTGATTTGCCTTTCCATGAGGTGACAAAAATCCTGGGAAACATGTGGACGCAGTTGCCAGCACCTCAAAAACAGGTTTGGCGTATTACACAATTATGCATTGCTGCCTGGAAAATTTTTATTCATAAAGTCTTTTTGATATTTCCAGTTGTATTTGGAAGAAGCTGAGAAAGACAAAGAGAGATACATGAAAGAGCTTGAAGAATACCAACAAACAGATGCATACAAGGCTTTTATGTCCAAACAGAAAGCTTTGAGAAGAGGTAAGTTATCATTTGCAGTTAACATTATTGCTCTTTAATGAGTCCCAGACTCTGTATGCCCAAAATTGATGCACTAAACAATTCCAAGATGTGCAGAATAGCTGCTTTCAAAAATATGGAAGGTGGGCGCCTAAGGTATTTTTGGCAGTGTTCTGAAGCTTATGTCGTACATTTTTACCTGAGAGCAGGCAGAAATCTAAGATATTTTCTTTTGATGAAGGCATTAGGTGATATTATAAATAACACATGTAATTAACATTGACGATAATTAATAGTCAATGGTGTATAATATGGACTTTTATTTTTTTTTTTGCAGAAGCTGATGGTGTCAATGGAACAGCTGAATCACAGGTGAGGGTGTTTGGAAATGGTATTTTTGTAATTATAGTACCACCAAATATATCACTCTTGCTTTCATTACAAGAAAGTACATAATGTACATTTCAAGAAAGTAGAGCGGATTTCGTATGAGTGGGAAACGGACGGTACTGTACGGTGGCCGTAATCGTACTGTAACCAAATTCTAGTMCCCCACTGGTTCACCAAAATTCTGCAGGCCAGGTSCGGTAACTGTYCYGTAACCGTGCGGTAACGGTGTCCCACTCATACGAAATCGGCTCTATTACTAATTCCTAAGTAAAGTACAGTCACATGTAAAATAATAATAGTAATAACTTTAACCCTTCCATAACAAATGATACATAGGATACAATATATTGAATTGAATGATAGAGTTTGAGAACTCTAATAGTTCTTTCGTAGTAGGATAGACATCGCACTCATTTATTTCTTTTGTTCTTTGTCTCACTTGTTTGTTTTTGGTTTGCTTTTTTTGTTTTTGTGTATTTTGTAAGTGATAAGGGGGTATAATAAAGTACTAGGGAAAGTATTCAATGTGCTTGTGCTATTTTTGTTGTTAGGCTGTTAATGATGAATCTGATAATTTGCTGTGTAAACCATGTAATATGTTCTTTAATTCACCACACAACAAACGCGAACACTTGATGGGGAAGAAACACAATATGATTCTCATGGAAGCTGCAGAGAAAGAAAAACAAGAAGTTAAGGTAAGATATTTTGAATACAAAAAAAAAAATAAATAAATAAATAAATAAATAAATAAAAATTTGAATGCATGTTGCTTTTCCATTCTGTTTTCTGAAAAATATGTACCTTTGAAACATTAAAAAAACAAACACAAGGAATTTTTTTTGAACTGAGTGCTGCGATTTGTTTTATAGGACAAAAGTGCTCCTGTTACTGTTAAAAGTGAGGTTCAAGAAACACCAGAAGAAGCATTTCCAGTTGATGGTGATATCCCAATATTTACAGAAGAATTTCTAAACTATAATAAAGGTGAGTGGTAGATTGTTTTAAATACTATTGAGGTATGGTTTGTTGTGGCTTAGTGTCTCTTGTAGAGTCTCAAACAAATGTCTTCTTTTTCCATTTGCTTTCTACAGCCTTTTCATTATTCTTCATATAAAATGTGACTTTTTCTTATGTTTCATTTCTGCTGGTCGGAAAAGTCCCTAAAAATGTGTTTTCATTTTTCTGTAGTCCGTGAAAATGAACTAAGAAGACTGCGAAAGACAAACACAGAGTTTGAAGAGCAGAATGCTATTCTCAGCAAACACATTGAAAACATGAAAAAGGGTATTGAAAAACTGGAAAATGAAGCAGGCGAACAACAAAAAGAAATAACCTTATTAGAAAAAAATCTTCAGAAGCTGCGACAAGTGTTAAGGAACAAGTTATCTGAATTAAGTATTGCAGGCATCGATGAACCCATCAGCACTGATTCGTCCGTCGACAAATTCGTCAGCAGACTACATCGCTTCATACAGGATGATCCTAAAGAGAATGCAGAACTGGTTACTAAAATCAAGGGAATTATTTCATCAATTGATTATCCAAAGTAGGTATTCTGTTAAGTGCTGCATGTATGTCAATAATTCATGTTTATTAGACAATGTTTAGTCTCCAAGTATATTCTTAGATGGGCTGCCTGTGGTCAGAGATATTTTCCCATTAAGTATTTTTCTTTTATTTAGTTTCCTAAAAGATGTTGAAAGCTGACGTCAAGGAAGCCACCATTCACCCATTCAAGATAAATCCATTCTAGCACAGTGTGCAGGTTCCCCTGGATCATAAATGTTATAAAAAAAAATTTGTATGACTCTCTGATGCAGTTTATAAAAAGAATTCATAGTTAATATGTACTAATTTTTCAATTCTAAACGTATTTTGGTAAACGAAATCACTATTGTTTGCATGAAACACTGTAGTTACAATATTATAATAATATTTATAGTAGTTTTTTTCAACTCTCACTTGTTGGTACAATAATAGCCTTGTTTGGTACAGCAGTCTGAAGTATTTTACATTAGAACGACTACATTTTTAGTAGTGAAAATATTGAAAATGATGGAAAAAATTGTGGCTACTATCATGTGTGGAAAACCTCCATGGATATAGGAAAGTCATTGCCCTTATGTACACAATGTTATATTAAAATGATTATATCATAATTTCTTAATATCAAACTCAATTGGTATCTGAAGAACGTATCAGCAAATAAAATTTAGGGATTGATACTTCAAAGATGTTTTTAGAGAAAACAGTCCACTTCATTTATTTATAGTTAATGTTTATATACACTCAAATAATGTTGAAAGTGCTGTACATTTTCAAGAGAATAATAAGTTTATCTTGATAGTACTGGTCACACTTTCCTGTGCCATTTTGCAACTTGTGGCCTGGCTTTTCATTGAAGAGAGAACTGCGAGTCATAGTAGTTGGATTTTTTCACGTCTACATGTAAAACATAGGCTAATATTGTTCTCATGTTGTCACAAGCTTTTTGGTCATATCTCTTTGATAAGGAGGCCATAAGAGCGTGAATATTAACCCAGTTTTTTCGCATGTGGAAGTTCATGTTCATGTTCATAGTTATAACAACAAATAACTTGATTATTGTATTAATTTATAGATCATTCATAAATCATTCAAACAAAGATGTTTTGATCTCTTGTTGAACAATCCATTATAATAATATGTCTGATTTAGTTCTATTTAATGGTATTTGCGTTGAAAAGCATTCTGTATTGATGATTTGGTATGATGTACATGATCAAACAGAGTATTAATTAAAAGAGTGCACGGATTGGCTTTCAAGAATACAGAGAAAAAGCACCTGTGAAATTGTACTGCTAGTATGTTGCTACTATTTTGTCCAATGTGTTAGTAAAGTGAACTCAATGGTGCTCTGCATCATATTCAGTGCAAAATCGTGCTATTTAGATTTTGTACAATTTCACAGATGAAGTGCATTCATTCTCAAAAAAGTTGATTAACTGGCTTGCCTTCCTAAGCGACCAATTAAAACTAGTGATACTGCACATGTAGTCAGTTGAAGATTGCTGTCAATCAACCAAAGTGCTTTGGTCTTTCTGCTGGTTGGTTAAACAATGCGAATGGTTTTGATTGATATCTAATGACTACACATTTGTGGATTTTGATGGAAGCTTAGCAAAGCAAAGAACATCGATTATGTCCCATTTCAGGTTGTTTTGAATAAAGTTCATTGATTGAGTTGGAATGCATTCAATTAGAAAGAGAATGTTTCAGGAAATACCATCAGATATATATCCATTTGTACATTTTATAGTATTTGATTGTCAAAAATTAATAGATGATAGATAGCAGAATGATTAGATCCATAATATTGTTTTTGCATTCATCAATAAACTTCAATATTGAAAACTAGAAATTTTGGTATAATTTATATTGCATTACATAATTTCAAGAAGGAAACACAATTTGACAAGAAAATATCGATGAAGAAAGTCTAGAGTAAGAAAAGCTTTCTTTAACCCTCCCCTCCCTACGAAGTTTTGCCGTGTCCCACATGGAATGAGCCMAGACTAGAGAGACACCCGAACGAGGCTTATCGTTGATCAAACGTCTGCGCGGTGGAGTGTATTGCTGAAGACGCAAATATGTGAAAATATCTGGTGGAATTTGTAGAAAATATCAAAATTAACTTAGGATGTGTGATGATTATGATACAGACTTTGATTCTGATCCCGACGAATTTGATCGATGCAATTTGAGAGATGATATTCAGCGAATCAATCTTGCGCTCGCGGCGGACAGCGACGACGAGCCTTCAGATGWAGAAGACGACGACGCTGAAGAGGAAGGTAATGCGAATTTGCAAACCTTCCAGGGACTTTCCGAGTTACAGAAATATGTGCTAAAGAATATTCTTAACTGCAATGTTGATATTTGAACTTGAAATGAGTCAAGTATGGATTTCTGTTGAAATATTTCTGCATAATTTTGTGTTTGGACTCCGAACACCCCCATAAGCTTTACTCGGTTAAAACACACTACATTTGCCTTTCAGAATCTGGTCTGTCGAAGTTTTCTCACTTCAAAGCGTCCAATCTTACAGACCCGGTAAGTGAACGTTACTTATGTTAGTAATTTTGTATTTGCAAAGTCGTAAAAACACTTAGTTGTGGAACTTCGCATTTCGTCCCACATGGCGAAGTCGCTGGCCGAGATTGCATTAATTAAGGGGGCACAACATAGTTTTTAGATTTTATCCAATTTGTTTGTGTGTGTCTTTTTAATGAAAATATAAGAAGTAAATGTTTAAGTTAGTAATTAAATCAATTTAAATGTAGAATATAAGTATATTAATTAAGAAATATAAAACAGCTTGTGTGTCTCTGTCCTCTGATATAAATACAGTGGGATTTGAAAAACAGGAGAGAAGCAAGTTTAGGAACACAAGCGTAGCAAGTGTTTCTCTTGCTTCTTGAGTGCTTTTCAACTCCCACCGTGTTTATATAGGAGGAGAGTCAGACACAAGTGGCCGTTTCATGGTTTTTTAAAAACTTTCTGCCTTTTTCAAGCGAAAAACAAATTTTGCTGGTAAGCCGTGTCTCTGTCCTCTGATATAAACACGGTCATCAGCCAATCAGAGCGCATGTTATATATCAAAAATTTTATAATCATAATTTTAAATTCTAAAATATTTAGGATACTACGCGCGCTGTGATTGGTCGAAAACCATGTTTGATTACAGTTTCTAAAATATTTAGGATACTACGCGCGCTGTGATTGGTCGAAAACCATGTTTGATTACAGTATCAAAACACGCTCGCGCGCGTCAAAAATTTCTTTTTTTCCCGTCGTTTGCATTTTGTTGTTGTTATCATTCATTTTCAAGAACAATGAACAAGAAATGCCTATTTATGATTTCCTCTGGGATGATACCCCAGAAGAAGAGCTATCAAACATTTTAGAAGCTACAGAACTGAGCTGCAGAAGCTACTTCGAGATTTGCAGAGATAGACGACAGCCACATATCGTATCAAAAGTCAGAATTCTTTACAATTTTCGTATTCTTWTAATTTTAGAAAAGAAATAAAAGACGAAATTCRGTMTTTYATWCTCTGATCAAAACACTTGGGATGTAGGGAGAGCACTCGAAAAGCTGGAAACCACTCCGCTACGCGTCGTGGTTTCCTACGCTTCTCTCGTGCTCTCCCTACATCCCGCGTGTTTTGATCAGAGTATCAAACACGGAATTTCGTCTTTTATTCCTTAAATAACATATTGCATATTGCATATGCTGTTTATGACGTAAAAGCTCCAGAGGCTCATTAATAAAAAAGTTATAATATTGTAATTAGATTTGATTGGCAAATATTTCAGACAACAAGCATCAGTGCAGACCAGAGTAATTCAGTGCAGCCACCTTACCCAGAACCAACAGTAATAGACCTGGAAGAAATACCAACTTACACTGAACTCAAGACAAGAACATCTACGGACTGTCAACCAAGTACTACTCACTTCTTAAACAGCTACAATGCTGAACAAGGGACTGAACAATCACTACTGAACTCAGCCGAAGGAGAAATATCTACAATATCATCTTCGTGGACAGTGGAACATGAACTTTACAATTTTACCAATGTCCAGAAAGATTTTAGGGAAGACACCCAGGGGAATAACATCACCGGTGTAAGCAGGCTTTCTCGGCTMGACAGAGAAGTGCTCCAACATTGCTTGGCACGAAACAGGGAAACCCAGGTAGCTATTAATTATATAATATATAAAGTAGCAAGCTGTTCCWGGCAAATGATTTTTTTTTTCACCATTGTAATGGCTTGCTGGACTCCTTRCCATTTTTTAGCCAATCAAGAGGAAAACCTCAAAAACTTGAGACTGTTCTTGAAGGCAAACTCTTGCTATTTGTTTCAGACTCAACTCATAAGGGAAATTCGTCTGATCGACCTATGTTTAAACGAAAACAAAAGAAAGAAGGTAAAATCACATTTCTTATTATAAATCTTGTCTTCAAATAATAAACATTTTATTTATTCTCTACYCTTGCAGTTGGATTTAGCCCAAGTAAGATACAATCATGAAGCTGATGATGAAAACGATTTGAAAGCATTGCCTTCTTTACACAAGTTTTCCAGTCCATACTTTAAAGACTCAGAGGGCAATGTAAGATCCTTACAAATATATTGCACCAAGTAATACCAGATCATTATATTTATCTTACTTGTGTATGATAACAGGGACCACCGGACAATGAAGATGCCAAGCACTATCGCAGTCTGATGAAGATAAACCCATATGACAAGAAGCCGACAACATGTATGCATTGCTGATAACAGTACTAATTAATATTGAAAAATTTATAGATTTTTTTCCATGTGCATCTTATCATTCAACAACTGATTTTATTATTCTTTTCATTTTGTATATTGATTTTTAGGGAATAAAAACGAAAAAGCTGATCTTGCTGAGGGTGTTCGAATGCAGAATCTTAAGTTAAAACTTGCTCCATTACTAATGAGGTACAAATCAATTTTAAATACTTAAAGGAAAAACAAACTCATAGTCAACTATTGAATTGCATTTTTTGATGGGGCAATTAATTACATAACATTTTATTACCAGCAATACAATCCTATTTTATGCAGGCTATCTTTTGACTAACATACTACATGCAAGGACAAGTTGCAGCTCCTGTAGTTTGATATTTTTTGTGTCAACTGAGTAGTAGCATAATTGCAACAAAATTATCCATTGACATTAATTGTAACACTGTGATGCAGATTAAAAGAACTTGAAAGCCTTGCAGGAGGATTGAGCATCATAGAAATAGAGAACTTAAAACAGAAGATCAGGAAAGTAAAGTAAGAATAAATTGATTAATTGTAAAAATGTGAGTGTTAGGAAAAGTCTCAGCATATTATTTTGAACTCGATCTGATAGTCTTGAAAGATGTGACACTTTTTGTTCACTTTATAATACAGAGAAACTCCACCAGAAGAGTTGGAAGAAAATCTTGATGGACTTGATTGGGACAAACTTAGTTGTGAATATGTAAGTCAAGTGGAAATGAAGTATGAATTTAATTGATACATGTTTCAGGTGTATTTTCTCATGAACTTTTAGCTTTCAAGACGCAGTGCGATGGAGTGCAAACTCGAATGGTGTCATTTTGGACATCCTCGTGTGAATAGAAAGCCCTGGACAAAAACAGAGGACAAAACATTGCTAAAACTTGCTAAAGGAAAAGGGCATTTGAACTGGAATGAATTAGCTCAAACTCTTCAGGTAATAACATGAATCAGTGTTAAGGGGAAATGGGGATATGCAGCCTGGGGAGGTAGGTGCAAATGGTGAGGGGCTAAATGTACTGAGAAATGATATTCAAGGACATTTAAACATGATTGTGTTGAGAAGGGAAGAAGTGTGACAGACTAAATGTTAATTTCCTAAGAAGTAAGAAGTAAATTTAGTAAAAAAACCTAATCAATATTTGTTGTTGTAGACAAACAGAACCCCCTTAGAATGCTTTAAGAGATACCAGAGAAGTCTCAATAAGGAGTTTATCAGAAGGTGTGTATAATGCTGAGAGAAAGGTTGTATGAAAATTGGACTCACGCAGTGGGCATTGCTATATTCACCTTCATACAACCAGCCTCTGTATTAAATTGAAATTGCTTTGTCTCTCAAATACCCAATGTTAAGATGAAAGATACTGACTCTCCAGGCTTCTAGGGGAATTAAACCTTTGCCAACATAACACAGGAAGCCCATTGTATATAAGGACAGGCATGTTGGCTATAAGTAAGCTAGTCAAGTATTTTTATATATTTTTAATCCTTTTTTTTAGTAAGTGGACTCCTGAAGAAGACAAGCAACTCATAGAGCTAGTGAGAACATTTGGGATAAGCAACTGGTCAAGAAGTATGTCCTATTTTTATCTCTTTTCATTCACACATTTTATTTTCATTCATTCAATTCCATTCTTTTTCAATGTGCAGTTGCTGACTTCATGGAGGGTCGGGTTGGTGAACAGTGCATGCATAGATACATGAAAGCTTGTAGACCAAACAAGAAAGGAAGATGGTCTGAAGATGAAAGTCAGGTCTGTTAACCATCACATATAGAGGATAATAAAAGTGTTGGCTGAGATATTTGAGCGATGAAAAAATTTCTCAAGAGTGAGCATAGCAAATGACTGAGAGATTTTCAATATGAGAAGATAACATCCATATCTCCGAATGACTATTTAATATTCTTTTTATCATATAATTATATTTGAAAAGCAAATTATGTTTTAAAATAACTTTTATTTACCTCCAATATAATAGGGATATTTTCACTAGTGAAAATAATAACTTTCTGAAAGTGAGAAATATAGATATTTCATAGATAATTATGATAAATGTGAAATATTTTTTATTATTTCTGAGTCAGGTGCTGTAGTAAGGCAAATTTTTTCCTTTTTTTGTCAGTCCTGTAATATCAATTTTTCTTCAGAAATTGAAAGAAGCAGTGGAAAAAGTCGGGAGAAATTGGGAAAAAGTGGCTGAATATGTACCGGGACGAACAGGAACGCAGTGCAGAGAACGGTGAGGACAAGAAGCCAATACTAGATTAATCATATCTAATATTGTTTTGTAATACCAATACTGTTTCTATAATGGAGCATAAGTATAATATGTGATAGATATGCATTGAGGCAAAGAACTTATGCTGAAGAGGCTTTCATTGAAGCATACCAAAAGCCAGACCTCTAATTTGAATAGGGACATTTGTTTCTTCTTGTACATGAAGAAAATGCATAAAACCTAAGTCTGATATATTTTCTATTTTTAGTTATGTCAATATAATGGATCCCAATTTGAAGAAAGGTGGATGGAGTGATGAAGAGGATGAAAAACTCTTGAATCTTATACAGAAATATGGCGAAGGTGAGTTTTTATTTCATATTAAAAAATCATACATGTAATTATGATAGCTAAAAAATGTCTAATTATGTATTCAAAGCTTTGAAATTCGTTTTTTTTTTATTCTTTTTTTTTCTTTTCTTAATTTCTGATTCATGTTGTATTTGAAGATTGTATATCTTCAGTTGATAAGCCTTTTCTTTCCTCTATCTATTTTTGAATGTACTCAGATCAACTAAACTACATGATCATCAACCTGTTGTCTAACCTCTCTCTTTGATGAAGTCAAATGTCCT